CCACTTCCTGCTATCAGGTGATTAATGCAAGTGTTGTGAGATTCTGTTTCACATACCAGGTGATGTTACTGTTTCCATATGAGCACTTGGTCTCTCCAGAGTGAATCAAGGAAATTACAAAGAATCATTGTATTTATGGCAAAACAGTGGAAAGGGATGGGTATCAAGATATAAATGTTGAAGATATTCCAGAGCCAAGAACCCACACCACAGAAGTTAGAAGCAGATGACTTGAAGGGACAAGTGCTTCCAACACAATGCCAGATGACTGGAAAGGAAAGAGAAGAGACTGGGCATGTGGCTCATACCTATTATTCCAGCACTTTGGGAAGCAAAGTATAGCAGACTGCGTTAGTCTAGGACTTCGAGGCCAGCCTGAGCAACTTGGTGAGACCTTGTCTTAACAATGAATCCAATAGTTGTTTGGGCATGATGGCAAACATTTGTGGCAACGGCTACTCGGGAGGCTAAAAGAGAAAGATGGCCTGATACCATCACGTTGAGGCTGCAGTGACCATGGATTTTTCACTGTATTCCAGACCGGGTGTTAGAGTTAAAATCCAACCTAATATATAAGTATTTACAATAGTCAGGATTCAGAAAGTTAGGTCTTATTATTATACTCCTGTATAATCTTTATTACAATAATCAAAATGACACATAACTAAAAAAAAAAGAAAATATGACATATAAAAAAAAATCACTAGAAATATCCTTCCCTAAGTTACTCAATAGTATACGGTCATCATATACCTACAATCTTGGGTAAGATAGAATAGATTAACACTTATGGCAACATAATTTATTGTGTGGACAACAAATGTTAATACTTTATGTGCAGTTTTCTTCAGTTTTAAAATCTGAATCTGATTATTTACTGAACATAAACTTACAATATATGCATTTTAAAAGAGTAATTATCTTTGTTTTGATGTCTATGAAAACATTTCTTTATAGTATATCAAATTACACTTATGGCTTTTTAATATTGATACTGTGAAGATACATCAAGATATTAATGTTCTGGCCTCATTTTCTCATTAGCCTGTAAGTAGTAAGACAAATTATTTCTAAAACTCTCAATGATTCTGTCATTTATTTCCAAGGAAAAATGTTATCCTGAGCACTCACCTCATGCCGAACTTACAATAATCCTCAATGTGAGCCAAAATACCCTCTTCACTTTAATCTTTTAAAGGAGATTACATATCAGTGTTCTTCATACTCCATGAAAAACATGAGATGAGTGCAGGTGACCTACTATACAAGAGCAATTTATAGCTCTAATGTACCACCACGTGACTCCATGCCTTTACATAAACACTATGAAAGAAGGCATAGCATCATGTGAGTTGTGTTACATCAATATTGTTTGCTTTTCAAAACATCCTCAAATTTTGTCAATGCAAAATCAAAATTATACAGAGAATATAATTATGCTTTTCTAAAAAACAAAAAACAAAAAAAACATCTTCCAATGTCACTCAATATTTGGTATTTATTTCAGTGTGACTTTTCAGTAAATAAGGTTTCATATAAATTGCATCTGTAAAGTTTTCTGTCCAAATACCCCAGTGTTTCCAATAGCATATATTTTGAACAAAGGCCAGTCAGCATTCTTTAAATTTGTAGATTCCTTCCAATGCTTATTGACAGTCTAATGTCAAATAAAGTTTTTGCTGGTTAATGTCTGTAGACATGTTTTACATTTGTACATTCAAAAGATCTGTGGTTTGAGTAAAAATAATGGTACTCTTTACATCTGTAAATTTCTCACCATGTCTCTATTGCTTATAACTAGATATGTGATTTTCTGGTCCTTAGAAATACAGAAAATTTAGAGTATAAATTGTCTGATGTTGAGAAAACTTGGAATAATAGTGAAAAGGTTTACCCCATTCTGCCCATCTATAGGGAATCACTAAATATAGATGCTCATATGTCAACCAAATATTGAATGAAAGTTAAAGGCTTTATCACATTCCTCTCATTTATATTGTTTCATTGCAGTATGGATTCTCATATGTCCAGCAACATGAGACCAAAGGGCTTACCATGTTTTTCACATTTGTAGAGTTTCTCTCCAGTATGGATGATCATGTGTCCAGCAAATTCATTGTGAGAGTGAATGGCTATGTCACATTTTTCATTTGTAGGGTTTTTCTCCAGTATCAATAGACTTATGTTCAGAAAATACTTTATGAGAGCAAAAGACTTTGCCACATTCTTCATGTTTGTAGAGTTTATCTCCAGTATGGCACCTCATATGTATAGCAAATCATTTGAGACCAAAAGGCCTTTGCCACATTTGTCATGTTTATAGGATTTCACCACTCTGGATGGTCTTGTGTCCATCAAATCCTTTGAGTGTGAAAAACTTTGCCACACTTTTCACATTTGTAGGCTTTCTTGATAGTATGGATCTTGGCATGTCAAGCAAGTAGTGAATAAGAGTGAAAGGTTTTCCACATATTTTACATTTATAGGGTTTCTCTACAGTTGTATGCTCTTGTGTTCAGCAAATCCATTGCGGGAGTGAAAGGCTTTGCCACATTTTTCACATTTGTAGGATTTCTGCCAGTATGCATTGTCTTATGTCAAGCAAATCCTCCATGAGAGCAAAAGGCCTTGCCACATTCTTCACACTGGTTGGGTTTTTCCCCAGTATGGATGGTCTTATGTCTAGCAAATTCTACATGAGAGCAAAAAGCCTTGCCACATCTTCACATTTGTAGGGTTTTCCCCCAGTATGGATGGTCTTATGTCCAGCAAATCCATAGCGAGAGTGAAAGACTTTGCCACATTCTTCACATTTGTAGGGTTTCTCTCGACTATGGATCTTGATATGCCCAGCAAGCTTTGAATGAGAGCAAAATATTTTTCCACATTCTTCACATTTATAGGATTTCTCCCCAATATGCATGGTCTTATGTCTAGCAAATCCTACATGAGAGCGAAAGGCCTTGCCACATTCTGCACATTTGTAGGGTTTCTGTCCAGTATGGATGGTCTTATGTACAGCAAATCCTCCTTGAGTGTGAAAGGCTTTACCACAATCTTCACATTTATAAGGTTTCTGTCCATTATGAATCACCATATGTCGAGAAAGCTTTGAACGAGTATGAAAGGTTTTGCCACATTCTTCACATTTGTAGGGTTTCTCTCCAGTATGGATTACTGTATGTTGAGTAAGGTTTGAACAAGTGCGAAAGGCTTTGCCACATTCTTCACATTTGTAGGGTTTCTGTCCATTATGGATCACTGTATGTCGAGAAAGCTTTGAACGAGTGTGAAAGGTTTTGCCACATTCTTGACATTTGTAATATTTCTCTCCCGTATGGATCACTGTATGGTGAGTAAGGTTTGAATGAGTGTGAAAGGTTTTGCCACATTCTTCACATTTATAGGGTTTCTGTCTATTATGGATCACTGTATGTCGAGAAAGGTTTGAACGAGCATGAAAGGTTTTGCCACATTCTTCACATTTGTAGGGTTTCTTTCCAGTATGGATCACCGTATGTTGAGTAAGGTTTGAACGAGTGCGAAAGGCTTTGCCACATTCTTCACATTTGTAGGGTTTCTCTCCAGTATGGATTGTTTTATGTCCAGCAAATCCTCCTCGAGAGTGAAAGGCTTTGCCACATTCTTCACATTTGTAGGGTTTCTCTCCAGCATGAATCACTGTATGTCGAGTAAGTTGTGAGTGAGAATTAAAGGCTTTGTCACATTCTGCACATATGTAGGGTTTCTTCCCAGTATTGATAATCTTATGTTCAGCAAATTCTCCTTGAGAGTGAAAGGCTTTGCCACATTTTTCACATTTGTAGGGTTTCTCTCCAGTATGGATCAGTGTATGTTGAGTAAGATGTGAATGAGAGTGAAAAGCTTTGCCACATTCTGCACATTTATAGGGTTTCTCTCCAGTATGAATGATCTTATGTCCAGCAAATTCTCCTTGACAATGAAAGTCTTTGTCACATTCTTCACATTTGCAGGGTTGCTCTACAGTATGGTATCTTTGATGTTGAGAATCATTTGAGTACTTATGAAAGGATTTGTCACATATTTGATATCTGTAGGGTTTGTGTGCAGTATGCATTCTCTGATGGTGACTAAGATGTGAATACCAACTAAAGGCTTTATCACATTCTTCACATTTATAGAATTTCTCTCCATGATGAATTTTCTGATGTTGTGAATGACATGAGTAATACCTAAGGGTTTTGTCACGTTTTTCACTTTTGAATAATCTTTCTCCCCTGTGGATTCTTTCATGTCTATTTAAATAGGATGATTTCTTAAACACTTTTCCACATACATTGTGTATATTTGCTCCACTACTTTTTTGATATTGACTACATTTTGAAGACCAGTTAAATGTTTTGCCATATTCATGTTTGAAAACCATTTCCGAAATATGGATACTCTGGTGGATAACAAATTTGGAGTGTTGATGAAAGACTTTCCCACTCTTGTTATATTTGTAATGGTTATTTACAACTGAGCATTCTATCTGCCCTTCAGCCTCATGCACACTTTCCCAGGATTTTTGTAAGTATAAGTGCTTAAGGACATATTTATCATATTTTCCCATTGGCACCTTTGCAAGGGAGTCTTCTATGCTCTTCTCTAGCGAAAGGTCTTCAGTGTAATGAGAAGTCACAGCTGAAAATCATGAAAGTGAAAATGTATTCCACATGCTAGACTCAGGTGAATATCCTTTAAAAGTAAAATATAATATTTTACCATTGTAAAGACATAAGTATGATGGCAAGTACAAATCACAGTTTTTCACTCCATCATAAATATATTTACTTAAGAAAATACCCCATTGCCTGTGTGAGAACTCAAAAAACAGCTAAGACTTTGCAGAATGCACATGATAAATTGAGTTACATGGAAGAGAAAGTTTAGTAATTCTGCCACCATCATTTCTCTTCCTTTGCATTACACCATGATGCAAACAGATGTGATGTTCTAACTCTTGATTTCTTTCTCAGGGATAAACAGAAGAGTGGAGTATGAGTCCATACTTCTGACCTTTGAGTGTTTATGCAAATATTGGTTTCTGTCCCAATGTACAGAGAAGACACATCCTAAGAACAGGTATGAGAGTCTCTAAGAATCTCTAACTTAGCGATTGGTGTTATATTAATCTAGACAAAGCAACATTATAAAAATTATAATGTGTATATCTTTGAATTTCAAATAACCCAATTCAAACAAAGTATGCCAAAGCAAAGAAAGAATCAAGATAAATGACTCAATAATTTGTGGAACTACAAATTACAAAAAAGTTTGAGAAATTTTCATATAAAATGAAGAAACCCTTACTTGAGCCACCACACTACTGCCTGGGTGACAGAGAACATGCTGATTAAATGTAACCATAAAAAGGATTTGGGCTGGGCTCGGTGGCTCAGCCTGTAATCCCACACCTTTGGGAGGCTGAGGTGAATGGATTGCCTGAGCCCGCGGGTTTGAGACCCACTTGGGCAACTTGGCAGGACCTCATCTCTATAATAAAAAAAAAAAATTAGCCGGGCATGTAGTGCACGCCTGTAGTTCCAGCTACTCAGAAGTCTGAGGCGGGCCGGCCTCGGTGGCTCAGTCTGTAATCCCGCGCCTTTGGGAGGCTGAGGTGAGTGAATTGCCTGAGCCCGCGGGTTCGAGACCCGCCTGGGCAGTGAGACCTCATCTCTACAATAAATCAAAAAATCAGCTGGGTGTGGTGGCGCATGCCTATAATTCCGGCTACTCGGAAGGCTGAGGCGGAAGGATCTCTGGAGCCCAGCAGGCCGAGGCTGCGGTGGCCGGGAGCGGCCACTGCACTCCAGTCTGGACGACAGAGTGAGACTCCAACTCAAAAAAAAAAAAAAGAAGTCTGAGGCGGAAGTATCGCCGGAGCCCAACAGGTCGAGGCTGCAGTGACCAGGAGCGGCCACTGCACTCCAGTCTAGATGACAGAGTAAGACTCCAACTCAATAAATAAAAAAAAATAGATAGATAGAGAGATACATACATACATACATACATAAAAACTGCCAGATAACACAAAAATCCCTTTTCTGGATATATAACCAAAGGAAATAAAATCAGTGTCAGAAAGATGTCTCCAACCCCTATGGGCATTGTAGGATTTGGCAAGATGGCCAAGCTTGAAAACAACCTAAATATTTATAGAATCTGTGTTGATTAAAAAAATAATACGTGCACGCGCACACACACACGTCTATATACACAATGGCATATAATTCAGCCAAAAAATTTTTACAGAATGCTGCAATTTCAACTTCATGGATGACATTGTAAGACATTATGCTAACTGAAGTGAGTCAGGCTCACACACACACAACTACTGCGTGACAACGGGTACAATGGCTCAAGTCTGTAAACCCGTCACATTGGGAGACTGAGGTGAGAGGATTGCCTGAGCTCAGGGTTTCCCAATCAGTCTGGGCCCCTGGATGGGACCTCAAGTCTATGACAAATACAAAAATAAGCTGGTGTGTCAGTACCTGCTTGTAGTTCCAGTTACTTGAAAGGCTGATATGGAAGGATCTCCTGAGTCCAGCAAGGAGGTTATGGTGGTCATTAGCATGCCATGTCCTCCAGCCTGGGTGACAGAGTGCAACTCCAATTTGGGAAAATAAAATCCTGTATAATCTGACTCCTGTGGAAGTATGTGCAGTCATAGAGGAAGAAAGTACAATGTGGTCACCAGCGCCTGCAGGTCAGAAAATGCAGATGTTTTTCCTTTCTTTCTTTGAGTTGGAGTCTCACTCTGTCACCCAGACGGGAGTGCAGTGGCTGCTCCCAGCCACCGCAGCCTTGACCTGCTGGGATCCAGCGATCCTTCTGCTTCAGCCTTCCAAGTAGCTGGAACTACAGGCACGCGCTACCACGCCCTGCTAATTTTTTTGATTTATTGTTGAGATGAGGTCTCACCAAGTTGCCCGAGTGGGTCTTGAGTCCACGGGCTCAGGCAATCCACTTACCTCAGCCTCAGCCTCCCAAGGCATGGGATTACAGGCTGAGCCCCCGAGCCCAGCTGGAGATGTTTTTCAATGGTTACAAAATTTGAATTATAAGTGAGTTTTAGGGAACTAATGTGTACCATAGTGACTTATCGTTAATAATAACATCTCGTATGCTTAGGAAATTTGCTAAAATAGAAGACATTATGTGTTCTCCTTACAAAACATAAAAATGGCAACTAGGTAAGATGGTTGATATGTTCATCAATATAATTGCAATCATCATTTCACACTGCATTAGGTTATCAAATGATTACATTATTTACAACATATGGTTATACATTTTTATTTATGTATAAAGATATGTATGTTTAAATAAAAATATGTATAAAAAATCAGATGCTAATCACACATAAACATGCATACATATGTGTTTGAATATATGCATATATGAAAGCTCTAGTCCTGAGCTTCATACTAAAGACAATTATAAAATAAGAGTTATTAAGATACAAGGTAACATATAGGAGTTTAATATATGTTTACCAGTCCTCTATACGATATATTATACTTAAATATTTGAATATAAAGAAAAACTACCAGTCTCAGATTATACTATAAAAGTAAAATAACAGGATTTCTTCTATTAAGAGAGATAATTTGTATTTAGGTACGACTATTGAATATGAACTTAAATAAAATCATTGGAAATCTCCCTAGTAGAGAGAATCATAAATTAGAAAACATGTAACGTGTCCAAAGTGTTCTTTTTTTTTTTTTTTTTTGTGTTGGAGTCTCACTCTGTCACCCAGACTGGAGTGCAGTGGCTGCTCCCTGCCACCACAGCCTCGACCTGCTGGGCTCCAGTGATCCTTCTGCCTCAGCCTTCCGAGTACCTGGAATTACAGGCATGCGCTACCACGCCCAGCTGATTTTTTGATTTATTGTACAGATGAGGTCTTGCTGCCCAGGTGGGTCTTAAACCCACGGGCTCAGGCAATCCACTCACCTCAGCCTCCCAAAGGTGCAGAACTACAGGCTAAGCCACCGAGCCCGGCTCAGAGTGTTCTTAAAATTTCTCAAACAAATAACAACATCACTGCTCACATACTTCCAACCATGACACAAAAAGAAAACATAAAAAATAGATTGACATGGATTTCCAAATAAATAAAAAAATTCCTGCATATCTCCAAAGCATCAGAAAGGTAGTCATATCATGCAGTTCCTAACAAACGATTAAGTGTACTTTGATTTCCTCTGTAAACTTGAAAGATCATTGAAGAAGCAGAGTTTTTGGAGAATTTCAGAACATGGAATAACAGATGTCCCTTTGTGACAGCAAGAGAAAGAATTCCAGGCTTCTCAGAAACCATTTCCATTCAAGCAAATCACCTTCCCAAACCACATTTCTAGCTCTGATTCCCAGACCTGTGTCATCTGCTTCATTCATTCCCACCTACCTGGAAGTTTGGCTAGCATGCTGTGTCTCTTCACATCCCAGGGCTCTTTCTGTTGCTCCAGACACGTGATGAGGTCTGGCTTAGAAACATCAAGTCCTATTTAATTAGAAACAGTAGAATGATTCTTGCTGGGGTTCTTCAATTATAAACCTAGTATTGTGATCAGTAGAGAAGATTCTAGATAATTAACCCCAAAATATGGTTTCCCAATAAAACCTTTAGAACATTTAGATAGAATTTTCAATTTATGGGTTTCTTTTTATTCTAAGTTGGAGTCTTACTCTGTCACTCAGGCTGGAGTGCAGTGGACAGCTCATGGCCACCCCAGTGCTCACCTAATGGGCTCAAGCAATTCTTCTCCCTCAGCCTACCAAGTAACCAGAACTACATGTGTGTTGACCACTCACAGATAATTTTTTGATTTTGTGTAGAGACGGGGTCTTGCCAAGATGCCAGGTATTCTTGAACCCCTGGTCTCTGGCAGTACTCTCAACTCAGCCCCCTAAAGTGCTGGCATTACATGGCTGAGCCACCATGCCTGGCCTTAAATTGGTGAGTTCTTAGTTCAGTACTAGTGAGTCATAACTTATGGCAACAATTGGAATGAGATGTGGGCAATGATATCTATGCCACTAAATTTCTGGACTTACCAACAATATAGCTAGAAGGACACTGGTCAATTTAAAATAGAGAAGGCTTCATGTCAAAATGAAACATCATTAATTTTTAATTTTATTTGTTAACATATTACCAACTTTTTTTTATAGTAGGAACCTAAAACTTATTCATACAAAGCAGAAATTCTAAGAAAACATTCTACAAAGGAAGGACATAAAATCCTTAGTATGAAATAGGAATTGTGGCCAGGCTCAGTGGCTCAGCCTGTAATCCCATGCCTTTGGGAGGCTGAGGGTGAGTGGATTGCCTGAGACCATGGGTTCGAGACCCACCTGGGCAAGTTGGCAAGACTTCATCTCTACAATAAATCAAAAATTAGCTGCGTGTGGAAGCGCACATCTGTAGTTACAGCTACTTGAAAGGCTGAGGCGGAAGGATCACTGGAGCCCAGCAGGCGAGGCTGCAGTGGCTGGGAGCAGCCACCGCACTCCAGTCTGGGTGACAGAGTGAGACTCCAACTCAAAAAAAAAAAAATAGGGATTGTGTTTTGAAAGTTTTCTCACCTAGAAAAACCAGGTTTCTATGGTTCTCTAACATCACAGTCCTGTACAATATTCGCTGGGGGGAGTCTAGGCATGCCCACTCCTCTGGAGAGAATTCTATGGCCACATCCTTGAATGACAACTCCTGTAAACAACAAAAACACATATTTAACAAGTCACCATGGCCTCTAGGTCAAGCAAGAGTGAAGAGAACAGGGTCCAGCTGACAAGACAACTATTATTATGCAATAAGAAAATTCATAACACAGAAATATTCTCTAATGCATTAAATGTGGGAAAAAAAGCATGAAATAAAATCCATTCAGCCAGTGTAGACTCTTTATTTGAGTGAATCAACATACATTTGGACATCAGCACAGGCACGTAGATTTTTAATTATGCTTACATCACACAGACTACGATACATATACTGCTGAGATGGAAAACTCCTACTGAGTCAGAAGGTCATTGTCAACTTTTAATTTGTACAACAATGAATTCAATATCTTGTTAAAATACAAATTCTGTTTCAGAATACATGGATTTAGCCTGAGGTTCTGTGCTTTTGTTTTTTCAGTTGGTGTGTCTCATTCTTACCCAGGTTAGGGTGCCATGGCATAATTACATTTTATTGCAGCCTCAATCCCCTGGGCTAAAAGAATTCATCCTCCATAGCTTTCCAAGTAGTTGGGACAAATTGGTATCATATGTCAAGGCACACAGGTGAAACACAACATCCATGCTGAGATCTTTTAGCCAAAAGTTACAGTAAGTTATTATTACTTTTTGAGTTGGAGTCTCAGTCTCCTCGCCCAGACTGGAGTGCAGTGATATGCTCATGGTCAATGCAGCCTCAATCTGCTGGACTTAGGCAATCCTTCTGCCTCAGCCTTCCAAGTATCTAGAACTACAGGTGCATGCAACCGTGCCTGGCTAGTTTTTGTAATTTCCTGTAGACACGAGATCTCACCAAATGCCCAAACTGTTCACAAAACACAGGCTCAGGCAATTCTGTTGCCTCAGCCTCCAAAAGTGCTGGGATTACAGGCTGAGTCACTACACCCATACAATATAGTAATTTATAATATCAACTTAATAACAAGAAAACACGTGTTAGGCAGAAATCTCCCATGGCATGTAATCTCTGAAAGTGTATTCATATTTTTTAGTTTTTGGCATCCTAGAGAGCAATTCTCTTCTAATTATTCTTTATTTAGGCTTTCTGGAGTTATTTTGGGCAGTAACTGCCATCCTCCTTAAATGTACATTTTATTAACCGTGTTCTGCATGGAGCTGATGGAGCAGCTAGAGAGAACCTTAACAGTACATGTTCTGGCTAAGAGCAGAGGCTTGTGCCTATAATCCCAGCACTTTGAGAGGCCATGGCAAGAGAATTTCCTGAACCCTTGGGTGTGAGACCAGCCTGTGCAAGTTGGCAAAAGCTCGTCTCTACAATAAAGTAAAAAAATTAACTGGGCTCTGGTGGCCATGAGTGTGCCAGTGCATTTTATTCTGGACAAAAGAGGAAGACTACAACTAAATATATATATATATACACATACATATACATGTTTCTATCCTTCATTAGGATCTTAGGATCTACCCAATCTCCAGTGGGATTCTTGATTACCATGTTTTCCAATGACCCCCTGTAACAAGGGAACATTTTCAATAATGCAGGCCATACATTCGTGGTGAGAACAGTTTATGACAATTAAGCACTATGATTGAAGAGAACAGAAGAGGCTATGTAGGGAGCAGTGATTGACAGACCCATAGAAAATCACAGGAAGAACAAAAATAGTTGAAACAAACTCATTAGGCAGGACCATCACAAGGGCAGCAGCATGGTTTGCAAGTTTTACACACATGACATTCCTTCTGATCTGGGACACATTTACCCGAGAAGAGACCATTTTTCTTTTTCCTCCTACTTCTCTGGGATTTCTTCTCAGGTGAGATTAACTAATCAAGTCACACCTAGATTTTAAAAATATGCCTTTACTTATTTCAAAATTAAATGCAATGTATTTATTTTTTGTCAGAGTCTTACCACCCTCTTGGGAGCCCCTCACTTGCTCTTCTGTTTGCCTGAAGTTCTCTGTGATTTGATTCTTCCACCATTTCCCTGAGGTGTGTCTACTTTGTCCTTTAGGATACTTTTCCTTCTTTACAAATGCAAGATAATCCAGAGGACAGACATCAATTTAGCTTTTGCCCCTTAAGAAGAGTGATGTGTCTAAAAATGCACAGAAGCCAGTATCTGAACTAAAATAATTTTTTTTTTTTTTTTAGTTGGAGTCTCACTGTGTCACCCAGACTGGAGTGCAGTGGCCACTCCTGGCCACCGCAGCCTCGACCTGCTGTGCTCCAGTGATCCTTCCACCTCAGCCTTCTGAGTAGCTGAAATTACAGGCACACGCTACCATGCCCAGTTAATTTTTTGATTTATTGTAGAGATGAGGTCTCGCCTGCCCAGGCAGGTCTCAAACTCGCGGGCTCAGGCAAAAATAAAGTTTTTGAGAGTTACTAATTTAATAATATAAAACTTAGACATAATCAATGCAAAATGGGATAGTCAATTCTCAAAAGTTCAACATAACTCCATTTTAGATGGTGGTGGGTGTTCTCTGGCCTTTTTGTGTGTTTGCATGTAGGTAAAAAAATTTTCCAATTCTGACAAGGTTGGCACCGGTATGCAACTGTCCAGACTAACTCTGGGAAAGTGGAAGTATGTACACTAACTCTGTTCTGTTTAATAAAGGATCAAGGAGACTGTAAACCAAGGACAAATATAATTCACCATTTTTCAGAACTCTTCTCATAGCCCAGATATCTTCAAGTCTAAGCCACCTCTTGATCTTAGCCGCTCTCTGTCCCACAGCCTTGATAAAAATTTTGAAAAACCACACACGACCCAGGAGGGTACTCTAGGATGCTGTCCCCTCACTTCCTTGGTCTTAATGTCCCTACTAAATAAAGTCACAACCCCTGCTCCAACTCCTTGTATGTACAGAACCGGATTTGGACCTGGTGACACAAATGGCCAATGACACTAATGAGAGACTCTGGAAATTTCCACCTAGATAACTCAGGTAAGGCCACTGCAGGACTGTCACTCAACAGCACCTGTCCGTGCCCAGCTTCCCCTTGCCCCTTCTCAAAGTCTTTCCTCCCAGGCCCTCTGGGATGCCCACACCACGAGTCCTGGCTGGTGTTTCTGAACTCAAGAACCGCTGTTGGCCAAGAAGCCTCCTTCACGTTGTGATGGAGCCGCCGTTTAACTCCGGGGAGAGAGGGAGTGGGGCAGGATTATAGCCTCCCCTCTCCCCACCAGCCCCCCACGCAGGTCGGATCCTCTCCATGATCCTCTCGGTTCCGCACACTTGGAGGTGTTGAGGTGCATGGAGAGTGCTCAGCAGGTGATATCGCTGCATGGTCAAGACCATAGGGTCTTGGCCCAGGGCCACTTATACCAAGGGTACCGGGCCGAGCCACTGGCAGGGACGGATCCAGACTCAGAGCTGACGGAGAGGCTAGTCCCTAAGGAGCCGGGTCCATCCCAACTCCCCCTCTTCCGCACCCTCACCACCTCCCGCCTTCCGAGGGTCTCAGCGTCCATCCTACGAATCTCCCAGGACCTGCATGTCACAAGGCAACACCACCTAAAATGAAGATAAGTGAGGTTGATGGAAGAAACTAAGGTCCGGTAAAAGCCCAGAAGCTGCCCCCTCACTTCCAGTTGCTGTCTGTTTGGCTATTTCAAACCCCAGCATCAGTTGATTGGATAAAGCTCCAGGCGATCTGGTCTTGAGTGACAGGACATGCGATCAGACGCGGGCTGAATGAGGCAAAAAAAATGTTTAGATTTTTCCCAGCTCCAGAATGTGGTAGGGACGTGTGAGGGGGCCCCTTACAGGACTTCCTGGGAACTCTGGCATCTGCAAGGCTCCTACTTGGTGGGTTGTGGAGCTAAAGGACTACAATCTCAGCGTGTCCCAGGACAGGCGGTATTGACCTACAGTCCAGCGACCCATCAACCAGGAGCGACAAAAACTCCCATCATGCCTCAAATGAGACCACAAGCCTCCCCCCCACCCTTCTGCCCAGACTCCAGGACAAGGAGAAATCTAAAGGCATTTTTGCCTATGAAGTCCTTCTCATTTTGCAGCCACTGTCAATCAAGACCAGAAGGGCGGGGCCTGAAGGTTTTTCCAATCAATGGATGCTGAGGTCTGAACTTGCCAATCAGATGGGAGTTGGAAGTGACAGCGTAGCTTTTGGGATCTGGTCGGCCCTTTGACTCCTGCGTCTGCACACAGAGTTGGGTCGTCCTCTCGGCAGTGTCCGGTACTCTGGTACCTACATGTGTCTTCGCTTCAACCTCTGTTGCCCTGTGATCTGCAGGACGTGGAAGTACTTGGTGAGGCTGCCGGGACATCAGGAGACTGGGAGAAGGTGAGTATGCCAGGGGTGTCCCAAGAGGGGAAGTGGATGGACTCGGATGACCCAGCTGTGGCGTGAACGACCTCCCCCTCAGTTGACAGTGAATACGTCCCCGCCGGCAGCTGGGCCTGTTGCCCTCGGTGTAGGTGAGGTTAAGCGAGGTCGCGGGGGACTTGTCCCATCCGCGACCTCACCAGCTGAGGCCTCTGTCAACAGCCCCTGTTTCCATGTGTTCAGGACCCAAAAGAGTGGTGGGGAGGATCCGACTGACTGGTGGGGCCAACGGAGGGAGGGTCTGGGGTACTGTTCCCCGTCCCACCTTTCTCCACCTCAAGGTCACATCACAATGTTGAGGAACAATTTCTCTCTTTGTAGCTGTGGATATCAATACATTTCCACCAGAAAGTGTGATAGATTAATTGTTGAACTTCACAGGTGCATGGAAGCACCATTACATTTGTTTTTTGAGTCAATCTCATTCTGTCACCCAGGCAGGAGTGCAGTGGCACACACACGGCCAACCCAGAATCAACCTCTGGGTTCTGCTGATCCTTCCACCTCAGTCTTCCAAGTAGCTAGAACTACAGGCACATGCTACCAAACCCAGCTAGTTTTTTTTTATTTATTGTAGAGAGGAGATCTCACCAAGGTGCCTGGACTGGTATTGAACATATGGGCTCAGATGTTCCACTTACCACGACCTCCCGAGACTAGCTGATAACACTTTCAATAAATTATTTTTTAATGCTGAGTTTAGTAATAAGAATATAACTCTCCATAGACAAGAATAAATTTAGCCATATGGGTTGAGTCCAGTTTCCTGTTACTTGGGTAAATAATGAGGAGTAGGTCTCGAAAAACACACTGGCAGATAACAGGTTTACCACTGTATTACAAAGCCACTAGAAAAAACAGATCAAGTGCTTAATATCCCTACACCCCAGAAACTTCCAATTGTTGTAAAAGGGTAAATGCTTGAATCAGCACCATGTGGTCCATACAAAGAAGGGAGGTGTCCATGGTACCTGACTTTTTTGTTGTTGTGAGTTCTGATGTTACTGCTTAAGAGAGCATTCACAGACAGAATTGTAACTCTTTCATTATCATTTCTGCTGGGTTGTCATTGTTAAAAATAAGCATATAGGTTTTCTTTGTCTGTTTTGCCCAGGATGGAATGCAGTGGGACACTCACAGCTACTGCAGCCATGACCTATTGGCCATAGGCAATACTTGCATGTCAAACTTCAGGCATGTGCCACTATACCCAACTAATTGCTTGATTTATTGCTGAGATGAGGTCATGCCAAGCTGGCCTGGCTAGTCTGGAACCCCGGGGCTCAGGTTATCCTTTCATCTCATCTCCCAAACTACTGGAATTACAGGTGTGAGCCATTGTGCCCAGCTATCCCCCATGTGATCCTAACATGGCAACACTGTCAAGTTGAGGGCTGCTAGATATGTTCGTGAAAGTTGAATTCAGAAGGGAGGTCACCTGCCCTGATCTGCTTGGGTTAGGTCAGGCAGGTAAGCCAGTGGGGCCATATATTTATTGCTGTAGAAGAAATTGCCAGTGTTTCTGGCAAGGGAGGGCACTTGTGGAAAGGAAAGATTTAACTCACACTTTGCAATCCTTGCAGGAGCTCACTGTTTTTGAATCTGTCTCATGTGACAAAAAACAGAGAAAGGTAGATGTTATCACCCTCTCTGGATCTTCCTGCCTGTGGGTGTGGTGGTAGCAAGGAAAGGATTGTGCTTATGAGAAAGGCATCTTCTGGGTACACATCATAGCTTATGTCAGGAATCCTATCACTTAGGGAGGCTGAGGGGAGAGGATTGCTTGAGGTCAGGAGTTTGAGACCAACCTCTACAACATAGCATATTCATGTCACTATAAAAATAATTATAGAAAAATTAGCCAGGAGTATTAGCAAAGGCCTGTAGTTCCAGGTATTTTGGAGACTGAGATGGAAGGATTGCCTAAGCCCAGGAGTTCAAGGCTGTAGTGAGTAATAATGGTGCCACTTCACTTCTGCCTCAGTGGCAGAATGAGACTAACAAAAAATAAATACATTCAATTTAATTTTAAAATAAATAAAGGCAGCCGGGCTCAGTGGCTCAGCCTGTAATCCCGTGCCTTTGGGAAGCTGAGGTGAGTGGATTGCCTGAGCCCATGGATTCGAGACCTGCCTAGGCAGCGAGACCTCATCTCTACAATAAATCAAAAAATCAGCTGGGCATGGTAGCACATGCCTGTAATTGCGGCTACTTGGAAGGCTGAGGTGGAAGGATTGCCGGAGCCCAGCAGGTCGAGGTTGCGGTGCCCGGGAGCGGCCACTGCACTCCAGTCTGGGTGACGGAGTGAGACTCCAACTCAAAAATAAATAAATAAATAAATAAATAAATAAAGGCATAATTTCAGCATGTATTGTGTGACTTGTCTAGATCATTTCACCTGTAAAGAAATTCCAGATGACCAGACTGGGTGGCTGAGGCTGTAATCTGAGCACTTTGGGAGACCAGGGTAAGCGGTCTGCCTGAGCCTATGGGTTCAAGACCAGCCTGGGCAACTTTGGCAAGACCTCGTCTCTAGAATACATTAAAAATTGACCAAGCATAGTTCAGCCTGTAGTTACAGCTACTTGGAAGTCTAAGATAGAAAGATCACCTCAGCCCAGCAGGTCATTGCTGGGGTGGCCATGAGCATGCCACTGCACTCCAACCTGGGCAAAGAAGTGAGACTCAGACTCAAATTTAAAAAAAAAAAAGAAATCCCAGAGAAGTTGTAGGAAAAGGAAAGAAAAAACCTAGTTCTCAGGTAAATGTGTCCCAGGTCAGAAGGACTGTCATTTTTAAAACTTGAAAACCGGCTGCGATCGGTGGCTTAGCCTGTAATCCTAGCACTTTGGGAGGCCGAGTTGAGTGGATTGCCTGAGTCCATGGGTTCCAACATGCCTGGGCAACTTGACGAGACCTCATCTCTACAATAAATCAAAAATTATCTGGGCGTGGTAGCGCATGCCTGTAGTTCCAGCTACTTGGAAGGCTGAGGTGGAAGAACCACTGGAGCCCAGTAGGTCAAGGCTGCTGTGGCCGGGAGTGGCCATTGCACTCCAGTCTGGGTGAAAGACTGCGACTCAAACTCAGAAAAAAAAAAAAGAAAACTTGAAAACCTCACTGCTACTTGTGATGGTCTTGCCTCATGAGTATTTTTCAACTATTTTTGTTCTTCTGGTATTCAAGGGCTCTGAAGGACACGTCTCCCTACATACCAGAGGGCCCATTTTCTCAGCATCGATGCTGCCTAGTTGCCATGAATTGTTTTTCACTGTGAATGTATGACGTGCAGTAATAAAAATGTTCCCTTGCCGGGCTCGGTGGCTCAGCCTGTAATCCCGCGCCTTTGGGAGGCTGAGGTGAGTGGATTGCCTGAGCTCACATGTTCAAGACCCACCTGGGCAGCAAGAACTCAACTCTACAATAAATCAAAAAAACAGCCGGGCGTGGGAGTGCATCCCTGTAATTCCGACTACTTGGAAGGCTGAGGCAGAAGGATCGCCGGAGCCCAGCAGGTCGAGGCTGCAGTGGCTGGGAGCAGCCACTGCCCTCCAGTCTGGGCAACAGAGTGAGACTCTGACTCAAAAAAAAAATGTTCCCTTGTGGTTGGGAAACATGGGAAGGTATGGATATCCAAGCTTCCCATTGGAAATCGGGTAGATCCTCAGATACAAAGAATGGGAATGGGAATGTGTATGTTTAAGATTTCACATTATGCTCCATCAGCTCCATGAAGAACATGCTTAATATCATGCACATTTACACAGGATGGTGGTTACTGCCAAGAACACAAAAATGTCTGAATAAAGAATTACTCCAAGAGAGCTGCTCTTTACGACGCTAAAAACAAACAATATAAATACACTTTTTGAGATTGCACACCATGGGTGATTCCTGTACGAGGATTTCTGCCTAAGTCGTTTATTATTAGATTGATATTAAAATTTACTATTTTTTTGGCATATAATATCTCAGCATGAATGCTGCATTGCACCTGTGTGCATCGGCACTAGCCATTTTTAACACAACTGCCTCTGGCATTTCTTTTCAAATGAGATTATCAGGACAATTCACATCTACATGTTGAAGATATGCCTTTTTTTTTTAATTAAATTATATGGTTTTTTTTTTTTTTGAGTTGGAATCTCACTCTGTCGCCAAGACTAGAGCGCAGTGACACCCTCCAAACCACCGCAGCCTCGACCTGTTGGGCTCCAGCGATCCTTTCACTCAGGCTTCCAAGCAGCTTGAACTATAGGCGTGCACTACCATGCCCAGCTAATTTTTTGATTTATTGTTGAGATGAGGTCTCGCCAAGTTGCCCAAGCAGGTCTCAAACCTGCGGGCTCAGGCAATCCACTCACCTTAGTCTCCCAAAGTGTGGTATTACAGGCTGAGTCACCAAGCCCGGTAAATACATGTATTTTATGAGTCTGAGTATCACTCTGTAACCTAGGCAGGCCTGAAGTATCTGCACAGAGCTTATCACCATCTTGACCTCCTGAGTTCAAAAGATTCTTCTTTCTCAGGCTCCAAGAATCTGAAACTACAGGCATGTGTGACCACTCTTTGCTAAATTGTATCAGCATTTATAGCTACATGGATGTGCTATGTTGTCCAGGTTAGCCTGAAATTTCGGGGCTCAAGCAATCCTCCCCCCTCTCTCTCCCCCACCACTGACCTGGACAAAAACCCAAAGAAGTACACAAATCCCAAGAGGAGTCTTAGACCCTCATCTTCTCGGTTTTAATGATCCTCTAAATAAAGTCACAGCCCCTGTTCCAACACCTTGTCTTGACTTTGGCTGTCCCACCAGGTAGAACCAGGTTTGGACCTGGTGACAAACTGCCAATGATCCTTGAAAGGACAGCTCGAGAGTGGGAAGTCATTTTTTATCTTGTTCTGAAACCCTGATACAATGTTGAGAAAGTAGAAGCTATGCTTTTGGAGAAAGGCACACTTTAGGTATAATTAACTTTACCGACTTTGTCTTTTCAGGAAAAGACTTCGATGTACCTGAAGGATCTCATAGTGGCAACCAAGTTTGTCTACAGTAAAGGAAATTTACAAGACCTAAGACATTATGCATTGGGCAAGGCCTGTAAAAGCCATGAAACCTGTAATTACAAAAGTTATAACCACTCAGAAGGAGAGCAGGTGGGGATTTGATCCTCCAATAAATACCTACAGGGAAACCAAAGATCCCCTGAAGCTACTCACTGCGAATGCCTAGGAGATAAGGGGAGGTGCACCCTCCACTAGCTCTAAGGAATGTCCTTTGGGAAGGGGCAAGAGAATTAGAATCCATGATAATGGATTATGATAATATGGACAGACATTAATGGGTCTCTGTGTCACAGGATATTCAAGACATCCACAGGTGGTCAACAAGGATGTCACGGTAGTCACGTGCAACATCTCCAAGAAAAGGATTTAAGCCAGAACTATGGGGGGGCTAAAGGCCACACTCACCTAGAGTGTAGACCCACTCCCTGTCTGTGGGGGGTGAACTTTTCTTAAATAAATCTTTTCTTCTCTCACCTCTGTGTGCTGCAATTCTTTGCAATTTACTCGGATCTCTGGGTTTCAAGTGCGCACCTCCGGCGTGCCAGCCCTGGCGGAGCTGCGCCCCTTACTCCATCCATTTTCCCTCACCCTAACAAGCCTGATGACTTGGTCTAGAAATTTCCACCTGGATATTCCAGATCAGGGGACTGTAGGGCTGTCACCCACTGGCACCTGCCCATGGCCGGTTTCCCCCTACCTCTTCTCCAAGCCTTTACACCCCAGGCCCTCCGGAGACCCAAGACCACAAGCACTGACTGGGACTTAGGGATTCACGATCCGCTGTTGGCCCATGGGAACTCCTTAACACTGTGCTGGAGCATCCGTTTACCATCTAGGAGGAGAGAGGGACAGGGCCAGGACCACAGCCCCTTCCCCCAGGTGCCCCCATGCCAGTTAGACCCCCCACGACATGCCTGGGTTCCACACATACACAGCGCGGGTTTGCCTGGAGAAGCCACCAGTAGGGCGAGATCGCCATGGGGAGAGGACCCTGGGGACCGAAGCAGGCCCACCCTGTGAAGAGGGGACCGGGGCCGAGTCGCCGGCGGGCACAGGTCCAGGATCAGAACTAAAAGGGAGGCCGGTCTGCCACACTCGGGTCATCCGTGCCACCCTGCCTCTCGCTCTCGCACCCACAGCCATACTCACCATCTCCCGACTTCTGGGTGTCCCAGCATCTTCCTTACTGACTCCCCGGACCTCCATTTCACAGGGCGAAAAGGGAAGAAGGAAAGACATGCGGCTCTTTCCTTGATGATTTGCCACTTCCGCAGCCCCAGAAAACAAAAGACCTGGGCAGAACCGGGAAGCCACCACCTTCCTTTAATCTCCTTTCTGATTGGGCAATTTCCGAAATAGCATTCGCTGATTGGATAAGAGTACAGGCCACCACCCTTCTGATCTTGAATGAGAGTAGATGTGATCCAATGGAGGAGGAAAGAAAAAAGAAAAGCATATTTTTTCTTGTAGCATTTTGAGGTTGAGTTGCCTCCCTGCACCGGAAGTTGGGGGGAGGAGCAGGATGTGGCATGCATCGGGGAGCATGCTGGGAAATGTAGTACAAGAATGAGGCCTGGTGGCTTGATCACTAGGCTGCAGGACTCCATCCCAGTCTGCGGAAGCAGCAAAACTTTTCAATGTACCCTGTAAGTAGTTTCAAGGTAAGTCCACATTTTTTGCCCTGCTGGGGAAATCCACATCCACCAGTGACATATTGGAAAAACTGGCCATTGCCACACCCAAGTACCAAAGAAACAACTCCCTGAAAGAAGAGAAAAAGTAAAAAGGAATAAATATATGAATAAATAAATAAATAAGAAAAAAAGAAAAAAGAAATAAGCCCCTCAATGCTCCTGGAGAAAAGGATAGAGTTTGGTAAGTCCTTTGGGTCCTCTCCCGCTGTGGGAGGTTTTCTATCCTCAATAAATCCTGCCTTTAAAAAAAAGAGGGACAGTGTAAGAGAAAAGTGAAATACACAAATGTGAGAAGTCCTCGAACTCAGATGATCTCCTTGCCTATCATAATATCAAAGACTCTAGGCCAGGCTTGGTGTCAACCTGCATTCTCAGCACTTTGGGAGGCTGACTGAGTGGATTCCCAGAACTGGGGTCTCAAAACCAGCTAGAGAAACTTGGCAAGACCTCGGCTCTATAATATATCAAACAACTTAGCAAAGTGTGGAAGTGCGCAACTGTAGTCCTGGCTACTTGAAAGGCTGCATGGAAAGGATCGCCTGAAATCAGGAAATTGAGGCTGCAGTGGCCAGGAGTGTGCCACTGTACTCCACCCTGCGGGACAGAGTGAGACTCCAACTAAAAAAAAAAAATTAAGATTCATGTTATGCACTCAATGATCCTGGAGCAGATGAGCTTCTAAAACAGGCTCCCAATGACATATTCTCTAGAACCACCAAAGGAAAATGTTTGTGATTTGGATGATGCCATTACTGACCCAGAGCTACAAAATCATCTCCATCCATTAGGATAAATCTGGATGTTCACTATTGTAAGAACTTGTCTCTATGAGTTTGGAGAGAACTGGACACTCTCTGTTGTACAAAGACAGCACTGTGCTTGTCCACAGAGCAGGCTGCTGAAGGGGTTGCTTAGAATTCATTTATAGAAGGATTCTTTTTTTCTCCTGAAAGCAAAATGAGATAAGAAAAGGAAATGGGTGATTTTCAGTACCTGCAGATTCAACAAAAAATGGAGAATTCTGCCAGAGCCCGTGGGTTCGAGACCAGCCCCAGGCAACCTGGCGAGACGTCATCTCTGCAAGAAAATTTTTTAAAAATAGCCAGTCATCGTAGTACTTGTCTGTAGTTCTGGCTACTTGGAAGACTGAAGCAGAAGGATCACCGGAGCCCAGGAGGTTGACACTGGGGTGGCTGTGAGCTACACTCCAGCCATGGCAACTGAATGACACTCCAACTAAAAATAAATAAATAAAAAGAGAATCCCAAGCAGCCAGATGAAAAAAAGGGGACAGACTACAGACTGTAGGATCCAGGTAAGGCCCATTCCTGCATAGGCAGGAGCTCTTCCACCTTATGCGGCTCTGATTTCCACCTTGGAGCATCCTTGCACAAAATGAGGCCATATTTCTATTTCTTGCCTTGAAAGGAACCCACCAAGTAGGGCAGACTTAGGGATGTGGCCTCCTGGGAGCTCACTTGCTCAATTTTCATCATTCCTATAATCTAGAGCAAGTATTGTACCTTGAAATCATAGCCCCAGTGCCATCTGCTTGGCCTCAGACTTCTGCTTCATTGGTGGTCAGGTAATGGCCTCTCAGGACATGGAAGTTCAGCCATCATTACCACCTTCTGTGGATAAGGTTGATGGCTGGTCTGTGGGTGTCTGCCCACCCTAGTTGAGGTGACTGGTTGCTTTTCAATCCTAGTGACATCACTGGTCTGGCCCTGCTGAACATGAGTGGGCCTCAGGTACCCACACACTCTGCCTAGGTTTCTTACCCTGCCTTGGGCCAAATCCTAGTTTTGGTCAAGGCCACATATTCACTGTATGATCATCCTAGATATCCCTAGTACAAATGCTCTCCCAGAGGTCAGGTGAGGCCAGATTGGACCCCTCTGGGTGTAAGAGTTGGGCCCCTTAATTAAGGCACTGTCACACAGATCATCCAGCATGAGGAACAAGACATGCTGCTGACTGGCTGAAGCTTTGACAATGCCATACTCACCCTCCCATCCCGAGGATTCCAGTGTCCAGCTTCCTTGTTGACACTGATTTCATAGGACTGAAGAGTTATGTGGAGCTTTGGGGCACCTTGCTGGGTGCTGCCCTAAATTTTTTTGGGCCATGTGGGTCACTTTCTCATAAGAAAATTAATATGGCCTGGGTCGGTGGCTCACCCTGTAATCGAGCACCTTGGGAGGCTGAGGTGAGTGGATTGCCTGAGCCCACGGGTTCGATACCCACCTGGGCAACTTGGCAAGACCTCATCTCTACAATAAATCAAAAATCAGCCAGGTGTGGTAGTGCGCACCTGTAGTTCCAGGTACTTGGAAGGCTGAGGTGGAAGGATCGCTGGAGCCCAGTAGGTAGAGGCTGTGCTGGCCAGGAGCGGCCACTACACTCCAGTCTGGGCGACAGAGTGAGACTCCAACTCAAAAAAAAAAAAAAAAAGAAACTTAATATGTGGGTGTCACCATAAGAGAGAAGGAGACCTCAGCGTCTACTGTCAACTGGGCAGGCCCTGGTGTTGGAGGCCCAGGGGATAGCAAGGCGAGATTGTCTTGTGTTCCTAATCTCATAGGGAACCTAGGAAAAGATGGGAGCCTAGCATCCTTGTTCAAAGCTGTGCAATGAAAGCCATTAACTCGGCTGGGCTCGGTGACTCAGCCTGTAGTCCCGTGCCTTTGGGAGGCTGAGGTGAGTGGATTGCCTGAGCCTGCAGGTTCGAGACCCGCCTGGGCAACTTAGTGAGACTTTATCTCTACAATAAATAAAAAATTAGCCGGGCGTAGTAGCATGCGACTGTAGTTCCAGCTACTTGGAAAGCTGAGGTGGAAGGATCGCCGGAAATGGCAGGTTGAGGCTGGGGTGGCTAGGTACGGCCACTGTACTCCAGTCTGGGTGACAGAGTGAGATGCCAACTCAAAACAAAAAAAAAAGGAAAAGAAAGAAAGAAAAAAAAAGCATTGACTCCTGATCTCCAGATGCATGGGGAGCTTTAGGAACAAATTTCAGGAAAGAAATAATCAAACAGTCATGGTCTGTTCTGCACCAGGGGTATGCTGGCCACTCCTGAGTCTCCAGACCCCCAGAAAGAAACCTGTTTTCCTGCAATCAATGGAAGGACCCACCTGCAGTTGTGCATCAGTTTGGGGATCAGTTCAGTCAGGTGACATCAGACGAGGATGGCTACTAATTGAGGGGTGCTGCCACATATTTTTTTTAGTTGGAATCTCACTCTGTCATCCAGGTTGGAGTGCAGTAGCATTCATGGCAAACACAGCCTCAACCTCTTGGACTAGGTGATGCTTCTACCTCAGCCTTCCAGGTAGTTGGAACTACAGGCATATTCTACCACGTCCAGTATGTATGTATTTATTTATTTATTTTAAGTCAGAGTCTACTCTGTCACCCAGAGTGTAGGGCAGAGGCATGCTCCCAGCCACCATAGCCTTGATCTACTGGGCTTAGGCTATGCTTCCACCTCAGCCTACCAAGTAACTGGAACTACAGGCACATGCCACCATGACCAGCTAATTTTTTGATTTATTGTGGAGATGAGATCTTAACAAGTTGCCCAGCCTCATCTCGAACCTGAGTACTCAGGCAATCCTCTCACCTCAGCTTCCAAAAGTGCTGGGATTATAGGTCTGAGCCCCCGTGCCTGTCTTAA